TTTTTTTTTTTAATTGGATAACTGTGTTTTTCCCAGGACCCATCAGCTCCAAGTCAAGTGGTTGTCCTTCAGTCTAGTTGAGGATGTTGCAGCTCAGTCAGTCGCAGTTTTCTTTTTCTTTTTTCTTTTTTCTTTTTTTTACAATTTTATTGGGGAGTTGGGAAAGGGGAACAGCCAAGTTGTTGTCCCTCAATCCTAGTCATGGAGGGCACAGCCAGCTCAGCTCCAAGTCCAATTGCCATCTGGCCACCCGTCGGCAGCTCAGCTCAAGGTACCGTGTTCAATTGAGGGAGTCTAACTGGCAACCTTGTTGTTAGGAGCATGTGCTCTCACTAGCTGAGCCATCCTGCTAACTGTTGGCAGCTCAATTCGGGTGCAGCTCACCAACCCATGTGGGAATCGAACTGGCAACCCTGTTGCTCAGAGATAGTGCTCTCAACCAACTGAGCCACTCAGTCAGCCCTCGGTTGCCATTTTCAATCTTGTTGTGGGGGGGGAGGATGCAGCTCGCCATCCCATGTGGGAATTGAACCGGCAACCTTGTTGTTAGGAGCACGCACTCTAACCAACTGAGCCATCCAGCCACCCACCGGCAGCTCAGCAGCAGCTCAGCTCAAGTCATTGTCTTCAATCTAGTTGCAGAGGGCACAGCTCACTGGCCCATGTGGGAATCCAACCGACAGCCTTGTTGTTCAGAGCATACGCTCTAACCAACTGAGCCACCCAGCTGCCCCGTGTCTGGCTTATTTCACTCAGCATAATGTCCTCAAAGTTCATCCATGTTGTATTCTGATTTTTTTTTTTTTTTAAGATTGTATTCGGGAAATTGGGAAGGGAAACAGCACTGGGGAATCATGGAAGGGGAACAGACAAGTTGCTGTCCTTTTGTTCTTCAGTCTAGTTGTGGACGACATTGCTTCACTGGCCCACGTTGGTATTATCATTGCACTCATCCCGGGTGAGGCCATTGGACGGCCGCTCACAGCGGCTCACAGCAGCAGGGGCTGCAGCCTACGCCGTCGCCAGCAACTCACGGCAGCCCAGCTCCAGGTTGAGCTGTTGTTCACCATCTTAGCTGTAGAGGGCACAGCGTCACTGGCCCTCATGTGGGATCCGAACCGGGACCCAGCTGCTCAGAGTTGGAGTCCCAAGCCGACTCTTAACCAACGTGCCACTCAGCCGGCCCTATTTATTTTTTAAATTAAAGTTTATTGGGGTGACAATTGTTAGTAAAGTTACATAGATTTCAGGTGTACAATTCTGTAATACATCATCTATATATCACATTGTGTGTTCACCACCCAGAGTCAGTTCTCCTTCCATCACCATATATTTGATCCCCTTTACCCTCATTTACCACCCTCCTCCCCGCTCTGATTTACTTTTTTAACAGATCCCACTGGCTGCCTTGAGAATAAGGGCAGTGGTGGGAGGGCTGGAGAGACTAGGGTAGAGGTGACTGCACTGGTCCAAGTGAACAAAGATGGCGGTGGGGCCCATGTGGGGGTGGAGAGAAGTGACCAGATTGAGAACTTAATCTGATTGCTGATCAGCTGGCTCTTGAGAAAGGATTAGATATGGGGATACCAGAAAGTAAAGGAATGAAGGAGTTCAAGATTTGGGCCAGGGCAGTTGGGTGGGTAGTGGTGAATTTGGGGGCACAAGGTGTGGGGGGAAGATAACCTAGAGTCCAGCTTTGGCCAAGTTAGGTGAGAGATACCAGACAGAGACAGGTAGGACTGACCAAGGAGACTGGAGGGTCCTCGTGTGGGTCCAAGGTCTGGGATGGGGCAGAGGGAGCTATCAGCATAAACAAGTGGACTGAGTCATCCATGGACTGGATCCCCGGGCAGTGAGTGTAGACAGAGAGGACAGGCAGGGCTGTACCTGAGCCAGGTGACACTCTGCACATTGGTGGGGTGCGGGGGGGGCAGGGAGGGCCAGAGGCTGGCAAAGGAGGGTGTTGGGGCTGGTTAGCAGATCAATCAGGTCAGTGAGAGGCCAGGGCCCTGCAATCCCCCTGCCAAGGTGACACGTGACCATGGGGCAGCCACCAGGCGTCCTGGAGCAGGGAACCCCTCAGCTGCGGCAGCTGCTGCTGCTGTCACTGGTGACATTTTACTCCATGAGTGTCCCAGCTTCAAAGTCTCTGCAGGGGTAGGGGAGGGAGAAGAGGGGGCTGGAAAGGCGAGATGGGTTGCGGAAGGAGGCAGAGTCAGGCCACAGGAGAACTAAGCAGCCAGGAGTCAGCCAGAGTCCTCAGCTGAGGTACGTGGTCCTGATGGGTGGGGAGCAGCCACCCACATCCCGCAGTCCCTAGGGGACATCAGAGGATGTGCTGGGACCCTTGGTTGGCCCTAGGGCTCCAGGTCTGGTGTTGACCCTGATGTTTATGGCCCTGCTCACCTTCCCCCAGATGTCTGGGAAGGTGGCCATTGGCAGTGACATTGGGCAGGCCCGCCGGGCCGTGGAGCAGCTGCGGATGGAGGCTGGCATCAACCGTGTGAAGGTGAGGCCAGGGCCAGGTGGGCACGCTGGGTGAGGGGGCAGAGGGACAGCGGGGTGTGGCTGACCAGGCTGGCCTACAGGTGTCCAAGGCGGCTGCCGACCTGCTGCAGTTCTGCACGGAGCAGGCCAAGAGCGACCCCTTCCTGGTAGGCATCCCCGCTGCCACCAACCCCTTCAAGGAGAAGAAGCCCTGTGCCATTCTATGACGCTGGCCCTGAGGACCCCTCAATAAACATGAAGTGAATGCTCCTCAGAGTTTGGTGGACTGCAGTGAGGAGCGAAGCGGGACTGTGGGCTGGCAGGGGCACCTAGTCCAGCCTCCCCCTGCCCCCCGCCCCGCCCATTCCAGGGTCACACCCACCCTGGACTCTGGCTAACAGAACATGTACCTACCTCCCACCCCTGCGTGCCCCACACCCATGGGCTAGCCTTCGCAGATCCCATCTCCTGTAGAAACACGTCCAGAGGCAGAGTCCCTATCTACATGCCAATGCACGTTACACACATAGTCATCACCCACGTCCACACGTCTCACACACACGAAGATGCCATCCGACAGACAGGTGCCCACATCCCCCAGAATCTGTCTTCCTCTCACACACACGTACACTCACGGGCACACAGACAGGCACAGATGGTTAGGGCAACAACACACACAGCCAGCCCCCCTCCCCAGGGACACACAGACACATTGCATCCCAGGAGTGCATTGAGCTGGTCCAGTCACACCCAGACACAAACAGAAGAGGCTGTCACCGAGGCTTGCACGCACCACTCCAGGCCACAGCACCAATACATCAGGTTTATTTCTCCTGTACTTTCAAGAGACAGCAGGTACCCAAATCTTAACAAAAACAGGGCCCAAGGGTGGGGAGCAGCCCTCTGGGTGGGCCAGAACACCAATCTCACCTCCCCTGGCTTGGGGCCCAGCCCAGGGACCCCACCCAAATGTGACTGGGGCTCCTTGTGCCCAGGCCTGTGGGCCAGAGCAGGAGCAGCACCAGCAAGAGGGGGGGTTGCCGGAGAGCGAGCCGGTCGGCAGGTCCACATCCACGGCTGCCCGCTCAGGCCTGCAGCCTCCAGACCTCCAGCGACAGGCCCCCCGAGGCAGCTACCACCAGGTTGCCCTCAGCACAGATCTGGGCAGGGACATGAGGACTCAGGGGGGCTCTGGGCAGGGGCATGAGGACTCGGGGGGGGGGGGGGGGGGGGCTCTGGGCAGCCGGCAGGACATGTGGGGCAGAGCCTTACCCCATTTAGCACATTGTGGTGGCTTCGGGTGCAGATGGTCCTTGGTGGGTCTGTGGGCACGTGCACCTGGTGAGGGGCAACAGACAAAGTCAAGAGGTGTGTCCCTGGCCAGTGGGGGAGGGGGCCTGTCCAAGGGCCTCACCCGAATGGTCTTGTCAGTGGACGTGGTGTACAAGGCCCCCAGCGAATGTTTGATCCCTGTAATATGAGACCTGTGGCCCACATCAAAGGTCTGCAGGTGGGAAGAACAGGTGACACTCAGACGAGTCTCTCCAAGGCCAGCATCCCACTGCCACTGGGGGTCAGGGATAGGGAGGAAGCCCAGGGAGGGTGGGGTAGCGGCAAAGGCCCTGGCTGACCCGGACAAGCTGGAAGCAGCCTTCCCGGTTGGCGAAAACGTGCAGCAGGCCCTGGTTGTCGCCAGCCCAGAGCTGGGGCTCTTGGTAGGACATGCAGAGTAGGTAGGAGTCCAGCTGTGGGTAGGACAAAGGACAGAGCAGCTCAGGCTGGGCCACACACAGCCCCAGTCCCTCCAGCCCCTGGGGAGGGCCCACCTGCAGCCGCTGCAGTACACTGTTGGCCCTGCGGTCAAACACCACGAGTGTGTGGTCCTCGCTGCCCGAAATGATGTGCCGGTCATCCGCCAGCAATGCCAGCACCGCGCTCGAGTGCAGCCGCCGGCTCTTCAGCAGGACTGGGCCAACTTCATGGGCGATGGGCCCCAAGAGGAAGGGGACATCAGAGCTCCTCAGAGGCTTCTCTAGCCCACCCAAGGATCCTGGGGTTCTGTCCTCCATGGCAAAACCCTCGGTTGGCTTCCCTCCCCATCCCACGGGTGACCCATTTCTTTCTTTTCCTGCCCCAGATGGATCTAGGCCTCCCAGGATCCCCAGGCCTCCATTGTCCACTCTCCCTTGGCCCCCCCCATCTTGTGTCCCATCTGCCTCCTCTTGTCCTATCTGCCCTCAGCACAGAGTGGACAGCCAAGTTCCAGCATAAAATGCCAACCAATGCCAAGAGAGACGAGCCTCTATCCCCACCCCCACTCAGCTCTGCCCAGATAAAGCATGCTAGACCTTCAATTAAAATTAGAATGAATATAAATAAATAAGCAGAAAAGCTTACGTGCCAAGCAGTGTTTTTGTTCTAGGTGTTTTATGTAAACTAACGTTTAATCCACCAAAGTAATTATTATCATCTCCCATTCATCCTATGGGGCTGGAGTTGTTACCCGGATTTTACAGATGGTGAAACCGAGGTTCAAGCTTGACTGGTGTCTTACAGCTAGGGAGTCGGGGAGCCAGGATTGTCGGGGGCTGTCTGCCTCCCAAGGGATTCCGGTTCAGAGGCCCCTCCTCTGGGCATCCACTCTGTCCCTCACCCCACCCCAGGTGAAAGTGGGGCTTCCTCTACCCCCTCCCCCTCTCAAAAGTCGCCTTTGTTGCCCTCAGCACAGCATAGGCCACTCTTGAGTGGTTACCATCTACTTCTGTGACTATCACCCCAGCCAGGCTGTGAAGTCTGAATGTCTCCTTCCCCAGCATGACCCTGAATCCCCCAGGCAGCCTTGATCTCCCGAGTTTGGGCCCCCAGCCCACCTCTGGGATCGTAGACTGTCACCTTCTTGTCATAGGTGCCAGTCACCAGGATATCAGGCCGGTAGGACAGGCACAGCACAGCAGCCTTGCCCCTGGGGACACATGGAGCATGGGGCTGGGGTGGGACCAGGCAGGGGCCTGTCCCCCCAAACCTCCCTCCCCAGGACCCCTCACACTTTATCTCGCCGAACTGCTGCCCATCAGCTGCCATGTCCCAGAGCTTCACCGTGCTGTCCCAGGAACCAGAGCACACTCGGTGGTCCAGCGCTGCCAGTGACCACACCCAACCCTGGAGGACCAGACCCATGTGACAGTCCCCATTTCACAGATAACAAAATTGAGGGTCAGAGAAGGGAGACAACCTGACTCAAGAGCCCAGAGCAAGTCAGCACTGTATAGAGGTTAGCGCTTAGATCTGTGGGTCTGACTGCAGAGCCCAGGACATGCCCACCCCTCACCCAATAATATTCCTAAATCAAGTCCCACAGTCTCAGCACCAGCAGTGGTTTGAGGCCACATGACAACGTGATTAAGATTGGGGCCTCCACTCCATGACCCAGGCAAATCAGGTCCCCTCCCTCAGTTTCCTCATTGGGAAAATGGGCATTAAAACAGTCTCTGACTCAGGAGCTAATGTGCACAAAGCGCTGGCTGGTGACTGACTTGATCCTCACCAAACTCTGAGGAGAGTGCTGTAAGGTGTCCTGTTCTACATATGAGGGAACTGAGAGCACACAGAAGTTGAGTTCCTTGTCCAGGGTCACACTTCCAGGAAGTAGCAAAGTGGGGATTTGAACCCAGCAGCCTGGTTCCAAGGCCAAGCTCTTGGCCACCAGCCTAGACCACCTCACTGACTGATGCAGTTGCCCCTCCACGGCCACTTCACAATCATGCTCAAAGCTTTGTGATCCCCAAGGGCAGCCTCATAACTACCCTGCCCTAGACCTCTCAAGACATGTCTGACATCTATTGAGCACCTACTGTGTATCCAAGTCTGAATGAAGTTCTTAATTACTGTTCGTTTCATTCATCCTCATTCTAACTGACCCCTGGACAAAAGTAGAAATTGAGGCCCAGAGAAGTCATATATCTCACCCCATATTATGCTAACAAAAGGAGAGCAAGATTGCAATCTATGAGGTCTGGTGCCAAAACCCATACCCTTAGCCACAGCACCTAACCCAGGCCTTATGCCTCCTACTCCCTCACCTTGTGGGTGCTGTTCTGGGTGCCCAGGGCCTTGACCAGAACCTGGCTGGGCTCCACCCCCAGCTGTCGCAGGTCCCACAGGTTGACGTTGCGATCTCGGGAGCCCGACAGACAGAGTGTCCCACCCTGGGAGGGGAGTGAGATGATGTTGTCAGGGTCACCCTGGCCCACCCCTGCTGGGCCCCTCAATGAACCCCATCTCACCTGGAGCAGCAGCACTGAGTCAATGGAAGCAAAGTGCCCATCAGCCAGACAGAAGTACTCAGCCCAGCGCCCATCCTCTGCCCAGCGTGACAAATGCTGCTCCAGCTCAATGCAGGCCGCTGGCCAGTCAAAGTCTTCTTCTGTGGGTACCACGGGTGGGGTCTTCAGTGGGCAGGAAACTTGCTATCCACAGCAGCTGCTCAAACCCACCCCTGGCTTCCAGGAAGCCCAACCAGCACCAGATTTGGAGAGACCCCAACCTGGATCCCTCACCCAACCCCAAGGAGGTCCAGGCTCTAGCTTTGCGACCATCAGCCCACCCACCTTCCACACAGGTCTAGAACTACTCCTTACCCCAGTTTCCAGGAATGGGGGAACTGGAGCCTCAGGACCATCTTCCCAGGCCTCATCCCCCAACCCAACTCGGGGGATAGCAGCCTCAGGACATTACCGACCTTCCTCAACCCTGGCTGGGGTCCGACCTCAGTCCCTCAACCCTCAAACTGGGCATAGGAGCTAGGACTTCCTTCCTCAGCCATCTGAACCAGACCCCAGGAAGTGTTTCTCAAACTAGTATCTGTAAAACTGGGAGCCTTGTCAAGATACAGAACCCAAGCCCTAGGTACAGAGATTCAGTGGATGGGGTCCAAGCATCTATATTTATCAAGCTATTCGGGAGAGTCCCATTACTTCAAGGTCACAAAGCTATCTTATCCCCAAGGGACTAATGACCTCAGGGGCAGAGAGAATGACTACCAGCCCCTGGTTTCTTGGTTGCCTAAGAAACCAGGCTAGACCCTGGGCTTAAGGATCTTAGATTGATTGTACAACCTCTAAACTCTATCTCAGGGACCCCAGCCCCCAGATAGGTTTCTACAGCCTCAGGACCCCAAATGTCTGCCTCATGGTACACTCAGAAGTCAGGGGCTTTGGCACCACCAGTAGCTATCTCAGGTTCCACGGAGCCAAGACAGCCAGGAAGTCTGCTCTAGGAGTTGTGCTCACAGCACCCCAGGTACCCACTCCCCCGCCCTAAATCTGATCTGGGCGGGTGACCCTGGCCCCGGGGCGCGCGCACCTTCCACCACTGGATAGGGCGCGCGTACGCGGCGCTGCGCGCGTAGCCTCCAAGTGACATGGTCATGCACGAGGTCGCGCAGCGCGTGGCACACGCGCGGCAGGACGTGGAGCACGAGGCGCGCGTCCAAATAGGCGCAGATCTCGAGCAGCAGTTCAGGGGGAAGGCTCAGCAAGCCCGGGACCTCCACAGCCAGACCCTTGGACGCAGTCCGCGGCTCCGGGGCGCCAGGGAACGCGGTGGGCCCGGACAGCGCAGAGGTGCGCGGGGGCGCCAGGCCGAATTTCGGCGGACTGAGCACTCGGGACACGTAAGCCTCGGCCTGTGCGTCCGGGTCGGGCTCCGGCTCTGGGTCCGAGTCATCGTCCCAGGTGCGGGGATCGTCGCGCGGCCCTGGGGGTAGCTCCATGGCGACCGAGTGGGCGCGGCCGGACCGGCCCTGTCAGCTGCTGGCCCCGCGTCTTGTCTCCTAGGCAGCGCGAGGGCACTTCCGGCGCAGCCCGATTACGTTAGGCGCCGGCCGGAAATGAGCGACTCACGTGAAAACTGGCTGGATATTGACAGCCGGCTCATTCCAGCGGTCTTGTTCTGGAGCTTCATAGGCCCAGAGATGGGAAACGCAGATTCCCGGCTCCTTCATTTATACCATATACATACATATATATACACACTTTTTTTTTTTAGCTGAGCCATTGGCAGTTCGGCTCAGGCAGGGAATCCAACTGGCGATCCTGTTGCTCAGAGCTCACACTCTTGAGCAAACTCTTAACCAATTGAGCCACTCAGCTGGCCCCTGGCTCCATTTTTTGTTAAAATTTTTTTAAGATTTTATTGGGGAATCAGGGAAGGGGAACAGATAAATTGCTGTCCTTTTGTTCAGTCTAGTTGTGGAGGACATTGCTTCACTGGCCCATGTTGGTATTATCATTGCGCTCTTCCTGGGTGAGGCAGATCGGTTGTCGGCCACTGGATGGCCGCTCACGGTGGCTCTTGGCAGCTCACGCCAGCTGCCGGCCACTCACGGTAGCTAATGGCAGCCCACTGCAGCAGGGGCTGCAGCCTACGCCTTGGCCTCTTGGCAGCCCAGCTCTAGATGGAGCTGTTGTTCACCATCTTGGCAGTAGAGAGCGCAGCATCACTGGCCCTCATGTGGGATCCGAATCGGGGCCCTGCTGCTCAGAACTGATGTCCCAAGCCAGCTCTTAACCAACACGCCACCCGGCTGGCCCCTGGCTTCGTTTCTAAAACAAGCACCTTTGGTGGTGCCAAAACAGAAGGCCAGCATACTGTGGTTTAAAAAATGCAGCCCTGGGCCCGCCAAGTAGCGCGTTGGTTAAGAGTTGGCTTGGGACACCAGCTCTGAGCAGCAGGGCCCCGATTCGGATCCCACATGAGGGCCAGTGACGCCGCGCCCTGTACAGCTAAGATGGTGAACAACAGCTCCACCTGGAGCTGGGCTGCCATGAGTCACCAGCAACGGCAAAGGCTGCAGTGAAGCCGCAGCGGGCTTCCATAAGCTACCGTGAGCAGCTGGCAGCTGGCATGAGCTGTCAAAAGCCTGTGAGCGGCCATCCAGTGGCCGACAACCGATCTGCCTCACCCAGGAAGAGCGCAATGATAATACCAGCATGGGCCAGTGAAGCGATGTCCTCCACAACTAGACTGAAGAACAAAAGGACAGCAACTTGTCTGTTTCCCTTCCCTGATTCCCCAGCGCTGTTCCCCTCTTCCAATTCCCCAATAAAACCTTTAAAAAAAATGCAGCCCTGTCGAAGGTACCTTTCACAGGTGACACTGAGCTTAGAAATGCAAAGCCCCCTTTTCTGGGTTCACTGTCTGGGGCATATTAGTGATTAGAACCATCTCCTTCCAGAGCCAGAAATATGCACTCTTACACTGCAGAGCCATCGGTGGAACAGTTACTCTAAATCACCTAAAATCATACTGATAAAAACAGCACCTCTTACTGAAAGCTTCTTGAGGCAGTGTTAACACATAAATGATCTATCTCTAAGCAGCACTTGTTAGCCCCACCTGACTCTTCTCATATCCACATGGCTCTTTGCTCAAACATCTTCCCTGGTACCCTACTGTAAGACTGAACATCTCCCCCAATGTTTTCTCCCCTTCCCGCTATATTTTTCTCTATGGGACACAAGTTTTGCTGTTTATTCCCATTAAGATGTACACACTTGAAAGAATGTTGGACGTGTCCGTTTTGGAGGGTTTTTTGTTTTCCCAGATTGATGCAGGTGATCTTTGGGCCATACTGAGGTTGCCACAGATTTTATTCTGAGGCTTGTGCATCCCCAAGGCTGAGCAATTTCTCATTTGCCTCAATAATTTACGTATCTTCCACAGGCCTGGTGCTGGGCTGAACTTTCTACAGAGATGCCTAAGATGCCCAGCGATCCAGAGTTGTGAAGTCAGCCAAAGAGCCAAGGTCTTGTCCCTTGCCACTCAGTTTAGTCTAAGGCAGATGGAGATCTGGAACTTAATGGCTCCTCTTTAGTGAGCTCAGGACGTTTAGTGAACTGTAATTGTCTTAAGAGAATGCACTCCACATGTATGTTATTGCATTTAATCTTCATCTTTCAAATTCACCATCTCAATTTACAGGGAAGAAAACTGAGAGGACTGGGGTTCCAAGTAATGTGCCCTTAGTGTTTTACTTCCTTCCCCACACCCCAATTATATTTCCTGACCTAAGTCCTATATATCCCCATTTCTAAAGTTTCCAAGGCCCCTCTGTCCCCCGCCCTACATCTCTACTGCCAAAGCCAAGGACACAGGAGGCCAGCTGGAGACCAAGGATTTCACAAGAAACTGATCTTTACTCAACAAAGTTCTACACAAGTGGAATCTCACGCCACCTCGGCGCCAATCCCCAGCACAGCACGGTAACAAATGGACAGACCCTGGAGCCCGCAGGAGGAAGAGGGTGAAGGGGAAGGAGGGGCATGAGACTGAGCGGGACTGCGGATCAAGGCCAGTCAGGGTCCGCAGCCCTGAGCAGGGGAGATTGAGAAGCTGCAACTTCGTTGTGCAAAAATCAACCAAAAATAAATTAAAAAATTAAATAGATTAAAAAAAAAAAAAAGACAACGAACCAGGCTCCCCCTTCCCTGAAGGTGGTTGGAGCACCCCTATCCTGGGTGAAGTGGTTTCCAATCCCATCAGACAGCTAGTCCATCCACACACCCCAAGACCCAGCAGAGGATGCTCCAAAGAACTGGAATTACCAGAAAACTAAATGGTATTAAATTTTTTTTTCTTTTTTTTTTTTTACAAATGGCTTCCAGAGACCTGCTGGAGTTTCAAAGGGGTGGGGGGTGGGGGAAACCAGCTGAGTTTATGGAATGTGCACCAAGTGCCCCTTGGAATAGAGGCAGGGCCTGACCCTGTCTGAGAGATGACACGGGGCTATGATGGGGGGGGGGGGTCGGTCCAAGCCCCTGGTAGGATGGATGGAGCAGGCCCCAGGATGCAGGAATCCAGTCAAAGCCCCAAAAGGTGCCCCCCAATAAGTAGAAAGCAGGGGAGGAGAAAAGGGAAAAAGTTAAGGGGGCTGCAGGGCCCAGTTTCAGTCTTGAGGCCAAATAGAAAGTAACCATACTCCCTTCCACTCTAAGGGAGCCTCTCCCACTGTGACCACATCCCAAAGTACTCCAAAAAAGTCCCTAGAATCACTGCCCCAATATGGTGGGATCTCAGGACCCACTGGGAGCTCTGATGAACAGGCAGCCTCAGGGCCTCAGGGTGTGTAGGGAGGCACCACCTTTCCTCTCCTCCAAGCCCTCGGTTATGCTGGCAAAGCATAAGCCTTCGTCCCCTGTCACCATCAATTAAATGCGCCAGCCCTCGTGTTAAAACTCGGGGCCTGGAACTTGAAGAGGGCTCTCAGCACAGAGAAACAGATTGCCCTTGAAATGGATTTGCTTATGGAGAGAGGCAGGGGTAGGTGTCAGCAGCTCTGGCCACCCTATGCTCTCTTCCAGAAAAAGGTCTCAGCCCAGTGTCTTCAGAAGTCACTGGAGCACACACAGGATAGGAAGAAAGAGGGACCTCTGGCCATCCCCAGCTGCTCCAGTGATACCCACTCTTCTATCTGGAACAGGGCAAGGAGGGGGACACACTGGCTGAGGCTGCCACAGAGATGGCAGGAAGTGTGCGGAGCAGGTCCAAAGCATACGCGTGCTGACGGGGCAGCCCCAAGGTGGCCGTCCTCTTGCCCTGGCCCCAGGCTCCCAGTGGAGGCCTCCAACCCACCCAGCCCTCCCCAATCACTGCCAATTCCGGCAAAATGGCAGAAGCTTCTTAAACTCTAGATGCAGGTTACACGGAAGGCCTTACGGGTTAACTCAGGGGTTCACTAATTCTACTGTCTCCATGCAGTCGGGGAAATGGTGGGGCAGCTGGCTTGGCCTGGCTGGCTGCAGTGCCCGCACATGCGTGTGGCCACATGTGTACGTGTGAGTACGTGTCTCTACAGGAACCCCCCCTCCCCGCCTGCTTTCCCCTTGCCTCATCCTAAGCCAGATTCAGTCGGCTGTGTTGATTCCTCCCTCCCACATGGCTGGCCCAAGTGGGCTGCCTGAGGTGACCCTGCTTAGAGCAAGGGGCCCTTGCTGCCAAGAAGTCCCACCCCCCTCCCATTTGTAGGACGAGTGTGGAGGCCCCACCCACCTGCCCACCACTGACTGGCCACACAAGCCGGGCATAGCAGGTAGATGGACAGGGAAGGCGTCTGGATTGGGTCCCACTCACTCCTCCCTAACCCCCCTCGACCAGGGCACGGCGACTTCTGGACGCAACGCGATCCACAGCAACCCCTCCAAGATGACGCAAACAGAAACCTGCAGGGAGAGGAGGGGGGTCAGAGCCTGTGCCACCTCAGCCCTGACGACAGCACCAGCCCCCTGCCTGCAGCCTCTTTACCTGGCAGTCGCAACATTCCTCTAGACTCCATAGAAAGCAGCCAGCCTCTCCTTGAGCAGTGGCGGGAACTGCTCTGAGAACTGCTGCCAGTTTTCCTCCCCAACTTGGTCTTTGAAGCCATGAAGGATCTGTGGTGGAGGGAAGAGGCACCCAGAGCAGGGCAAAATGAACTTGGCCTCTCCCCCCAGAGGGTGTACCCCCTGCCGCCTCCTGGAAATACTAAGCAGGAGCCTCACCTTATAAAACATGTCCCGAAGGTCATCCTTCGGGCTCACCCAGGAGGCTACAGCGTCGCAGAAGAAAATAAAGTCCTGAAACGCGACGGATCCCATGTGAAGGACCGCCCGAGCCCAGCCCCAGCGCCTTCCCTCAGAGCCCAGCCGCCCCAACCTGCACAACGCCCCCGGGGTTGACGCCTATCATCATGCAGATGCCTCGGAAGGCTGAGTCCTTCTCCTCGTTGTCCCTGATGTTCCTGAGGGATGTGCACCTGTGGAGAAGGTGAGCATCGGGGAATCAGCAGGCAGAACGGTGGCAGAAGGGCATCCATGGGGGGCAGTGAGGCTG